AGAGAGAGAGAGAGAGAACGCGCGCCAGAGAGAGAGAGAGAGAGCGGCAGTGAGGTCAAGCTGTAACGGCACGGGTGAATGCGGTTACCGCGGCAGCAGCAGCGGTGGCAGCAGCAGCAGCAGCTCACGTTTAATAGTTGCTTGCTTGCCCTAGATGTTTCTACTTCGTGGTCATTGGCACACATCGCCGTTGTTGCTTAACATACTACCGACCACCAGACATTACAATGCCTGACTTGTCATCAAGCAACCACAATCAGATATAGAGATGAAGTTCAGTAGACAGGCGATGTTGCTATAGCTGTATGGTCTATACGTGCATGTGCGGTGTTATGCATAAAACTATTATGTGGGGGCAGACATAGCGCTACAGCTATATTCACTTCGTTATATATATATAATGAACCTGAAGATTCTATAAATACGAAAGCGCTTGTGTGAAACTAAATGTCGGATTATTCTTTTTATAACTATAACAACTGAATATCATGTTCTCTGTAAGCCTCTGTCAGCGGTCTACTCTATAGAGCGGTCGTTCGTCTATAATAATACTCTTAGCGTTTCACTTGTCCGAAAGTTATACACAGTTCAGCCACCTCTACAGAACGGACACCTGTCTATAAAGAACACCTTTAGGGTATATATATATATACATGTACACCCACGCATTGCCCCGAAATTAAAGCTGCCCGGAATTAAAGATACCTTTGCTATATATATCAGCACTGCATGGCCGGGATTACCTTCTCACCCTACCTAGCAGTAGCATTGCGGAGGCTGCGAGAGTGGTCGGTGTGTAGATATATGCGTCATAGCTCTAGAACTATAGCCCTTCGCTCCGCCATAGGCCTGTGGCGGCCCGCCATGACGCGTAAATGCGCAATGGTGCGTACAAGTGCACGCAACGAGGACTCGTGTAATCAGTTGCATAACAGATGTACTGGGGGAGGGGGGAGCGCATGAACCCCCTAGTCGTGATTGCGTAGTAGTTAACGGCACAGTTTACGACAAACGACTCGCCGATCGATCGATCTATAGGTTGATTGATTGTTTGCTTGTTTGTTCGTTTGTTTGTTGATTGATTGATTAATCGATTGATTAGTTGTTTGATTGATGATGACCTGATTAACATGATTGGATTTATTACTTTGTCTTTCTCGCGTATCAGACTTAATTACTCCACACGCCGTGGGGAGGACCGTTAGTTGGAAAGCAGAGGCATTTCTGAAAGGCAATTAGCTGATAAAATCTGCAGGTGTGAGCGGTAGCGTAAACAATACATGAATTAATATATGTCTTGATGTTGTTCCAAAGTTGCGACTATAGAAATTAAATAAATTAATAAAATAATTAATCATATTAAAAATTAAATTTATAACTGACATTCATGTACATAGCTATAAGTGAGAGGTGTAAATCGCAATAATTATAGGTGCTTTTAATGTCTATTGCTACGTTAGTGAACTGTCGAAAGTTGTAGAGGAGAGACAGAGAGAGAAAGGAAGAGAGAGAAAGGCAGAGAGAGAGAGAGAGAGAGAGAGAGAGAGAGAAAGAGAGAGAGAGAGAGAGAGT